TTCTTCCAGGTTCCCCTTTTACGTCTTTGTTCCCTACACTGCATCCACCGGTAGATACATTTCATATGTAAGACAACACTTGTACGAATTTGATAGGATAAGGGGGGGATTACTCTTCGAAAGAGAGAAGCCACGACTTAAAAGAAAATGTGGAGCATGGCTGCATCATTGGGTGGGGCAGTGCCCATCACTGCCTACAGTCCAAACCCACCTCCTTCATCCCCCAAGACATTATTATTCCCTTGTCCCATCCCCATTTCCAAGCAGAAGCGGTTCCACTCTAGGCCCCTCCCCTTCACGTCCTCCTTCAACACATCTGCAGTCGCCTCTGATCACCTCCAGTCTGATAAGGTTTCGTCTCTCTCTTCTTCTAAACCATGGTGCCCATCACTGCCTACAGTCCAAACCCACCTCCTTCATCCCCCAAGACATTATTATTCCCTTGTCCCATCCCCATTTCCAAGCAGAAGCGGTTCCACTCTAGGCCCCTCCCCTTCACGTCCTCCTTCAACACATCTGCAGTCGCCTCTGATCACCTCCAGTCTGATAAGGTTTCGTCTCTCTCTTCTTCTAAACCATGCATTGTGTATATCTATCCATCCACCCATCCATCTATACATATATATTTTCAAATTCTCTGGCAGCAAGAGAAAGAAGCCACCAAATACCATTTTGTGGTGGCAAACGCCAAATTCATGCTTGACGAAGAAGAGCACTTCCAGGAGCTAATGTTTGAACGTCTTCGCAACTACGGAGAGCGTAGCAAGGAGCAGGACTTTTGGCTCGTGATCGAGCCCAAGTTCCTCGATAACTTCCCCAATCTCACGAAGCGATTAGCTCGCCCTGCAGTCGCTCTCGTTTCCACCAATGCCCCTTGGATAACGTGAGTCGACCCCTTTCTCACTCTCTCTTAGCCTCCCCATTAATTTTTTTTTTAATCTAAAAATCTGTATGTACGTCGGCAGGTTCATGAAATTGAGATTGGATCGCGTTCTATGTGATTGCTACGAGGCCACGTCTCTAGACGAGGCTTTGGCTTCAAATCCCGCCACTCTAGAGTTTGGTCAGCCTAAGAAATGGTCGGCCCCCTACCCAAAGTACGAATTCGGTTGGTGGGAACCCTTCTTGCCCAAAGGAATCCAAGAATCTAAAGTGTAGATCCTTTTTGGTTCCGAGTAGAATCCTGGTTGCTTTGCTCCTCTTGAGGAGACCCTCTCTTTTTCCATTTTCCTCCATACTATGTTGCCTTTGTCTCCATGATCAACTTTAATGATGGAGAGGTTGAGGGAGGAACAGAGAACGATGTGTTGTTGTCAAATGTCTGCTACAAGCCGTGCCTGTCTTTTAAGTCATCTATCAATCTTGTGGCATTACCTTGTCTAGTATATTGTATACGTGAGAAAACAAAAAATATCGTTTTGGTCTTATTTATCCATTCCAATAGTAAGGTTATTATACTCACCATAAATGCTAAACGGTTGCTCTATAGCATATAGGATATCAAAATGGGTCCGGCTCGGGCGCAGTTCGCGAGCAAATCCATATTTTGCCGAGTCTGAGTTCAGAACAAATTGAAACCGAACGAGTCAGTTTGGCGAGAACCATGAGTTGGTCCGCAAGACAAAATTTTATTTTTATTTTTAATATATATTTTAATATTTGTAATATTTTTTATATTTAAATTGTATTTCTAATGTATATTTAACTTGTTTGATTTTTTCTTCTTTTTGTAATATTTATAATATTTTTAAATATTTAAATATTATTTTTTTAATTAAAAATTTGGTTGACGAGTTGATTTTGTAATTTAAGGTGAGTCAGATCGAATCAAATAATTTTTGGTTTATCAATAAATAGATCGGATCATACTCAACAACAAATCTGAGATCGAAATGGAATGGACCAAATCGGGATGAATCAACCCGTTTTATAACATTTGTAGATATTAGTATATCATCGCCGTCGGGACATTGTGAATGTTCTTTAAAGTAATTATTTGTCCTTTTGATTGGTTTATAATATTTTCGGAATGAGAAAATGATTTAAGATAATAATATCACATGATCAAAGGGGAACAGGAGGTGTATGAGTTGTGCGATGATTCCAAATATTAATTTTTGTTGGGTACATACAGGATTGTTTTGACGAGACCAAAAGTTTGTTTCCAAATGTAAGAAGTAATTAACGGGTCGGGGACTTAGGTGCAAACATTTTGAAGACCAAAAACAATCTCTCTCCGTGTGTTTCGGCCGAATTTTTACGCTTAAAAACGAGAGCTCTCCCATTCGCTTCTTCCCTAGTCGCCATCCTCGGAGCAGTTCGTCGCCACTGTCGCTGCACATGTGAGCGCCTCTCTCTCTCTCTCTAGATATTCATCTCTGTTTCTTCTTCTTCTTCTTCTTTTTCTTCCCCTCTTCGTCTTCTTCTCCGCCGGCTCCTTAGCTACTGTCAGTTTTAGGTACTCTTTTAGCAAATTAAATCTCATTTCTTAAGTCCTCATGGAAATCTGAGCAAAATTAGTTCACGGCACTGGGAAACTTTTTCGTGAAGTCTTTGATTCAGGAATCCAAAGTTCAAAGGGTTACCGTATCGAATTGAAATATACAGGCACCGCGTTTATGGGTTTACCCTAAACCCTCGGAACATTAGCTGTTTCGTCTTGACCCTGCAGAGTTGTAAATGCTCCCCCATACTATTTGTTTTGACACACTTGTAGCTCTGGCAAGAGAAGGTTTTATCATTCGCCTTCACAACATGTAGGCATTGTCATGATTCAAATGATGAACAACTTGTACGTCTGGTCTTTTTACAGTGTTCAAGCTGCTTTTAGGCTACTTATAGCTATACATTTCAAAGTAGGGTGTCATTCAGGTCATCTTCCTTTTGGGTTTCTTTCAACCCCCGTCTACAGTAAGATCATTTTTCATTGAAGGTTTTTCAAATAATTCAGCATGTTTCTTTATTGTTTTAGTTCTTACTAACGTTTTGATAGAAACTTGGGTTTTGAAACTTAACCTTGGAATAAAGAATAAAGTGTTCAAATTTTTTTTGGTAAGCTTTAGAAAAACATGCTAGATATTTTACTTGATCATGGTCAATCATCTATTGCATCTTTCTTTCGATTCTTCTGGTTGGTCCGTCTTTAACGTAAGTATCACTTCCTTCTCACGTGAACATCGCATTTTCCTCCTCACGGATGGGGGGCTCTTAAAGACGTTGTCACCCTTCTTTGCTCATGGCAGACATTTCTCTTCCAAACTTTATGACATTGGAGCTTAATCTGACGGCATATTCCTACAGGTTTCGGCCTCTCTATTCCTGAAATTCATTTTCCTGCCTTGGTTTCATCTAAATCTCCAGCCCAAGGGATACATCCACTGTGAGCAATGACAGAACCAAGTCAGCTCGTTCAGCATCTTGAAACGTTCGTTGACGTGGCTCGTTCTCCTACTCAGCAGGTGCTTTCAATATCATCCTTTGGTTAATTTGCTTCCACAAGCATCTGTAGCTGTGATCAATACAAATTTCTGTTGCTTTTGTGAATAAATGTTTGTGATATTTTCTAAAACTAACGAACAGGCTGCAAGCCTGGAAGCGCTTGTTTCTGCTGTAGAGAAGAATGCGTTGTCTATGCAAGAATTGGTAAATATTTTTAACTAATCTTTGTGCTCACAACAAATTTGGGTGCTTTCATATTTTCTTCATTTTTTTTTTGTTTCTAAAACATAGGTTAGGGAGATGGAACTGTATTTGACAACCACAGACAATGTTGTCCGAGCACGAGGTACTTTTACTCTTCTGACTCTTCTCAACAAATGCATTTCTTTCAAATATGAATGGAATATGGACAACCCAAACATACTTGGTTACAATACCTTCCCAGGTATTCTCCTACTTGCTGAGGTCCTCAAGTATTTGGAAGCAAAACCATTGGAGGGTGCAGTTATCCATAGCCTCATTGGATTCTTCACTGAAAGACTGGTGATTTCATACTTCATATTTGACGTGTAATATAAATGATCAATTCTAGACCTTGTAACAATCCTACAGTCCTGAAAGCAATTTTCACTCTTTTCAGATTTCTTTTCAGTGTGGAGATATATGTTGGATAGGCTTCTTTTGTTACTCTTTTGTATACCATCACATTTGGTATTGATAACTATAACCATGATATTATACTTGAATCAGGCAGACTGGAGAGCATTGCGAGGGGCACTTGTTGGTTGCTTGGCCCTGTTAGGGAGGAAAGGTGCTGCTGGTGTGGTCACTGATACAGATGCAGAAGCTGTTGCAAACTCATTTTTACAGAACTTGCAAGTTCAGTCTCTAGCTCAGCACGATCGTAAGGTTGGCATCACTGGTAGATAGGATCTGTTTATTATCAGAAATAGTTTTCTATATAGTTGTTTTTCTTTTAAGTTTCAATTTTCTTTCTTCTAATCAGTTTCCTTGCAGCTCTGCTTTGAACTTCTGGAGTGCCTTCTAGAAGGGTATCCTGAAGCAGTAAAATCAATGGTTTGTTCCTGCCCTCTGCTTCGTCAAGTCATATCCTTGTTATTTTCTCCTCGAAGATATGTAGTTCGGACATTTAGGAATTTCATTTGGTGTGAGAGGGATGTTCTTCATGTGAATCTTTTTCGATCAGTTAGTCTTTCTAGAATAAGTTAAACATGAGTCAGGTCTTCAAAGGTTTCCTACAGGTTTCTCTCATTTCTCTGAGTTCATTGGGTTCATTTATAAATCTACCCCGTTGTTTACATCTCAAAATACATGTAGGTTTTTCTCACTTTTCTGTTTCTGTTTTCCTTATTTTTCTTATTAGGCCTTTTTAGGAGTTTTTCCTCATTTATTTCCCTAATTAATTATATAATTATCTGTTAGGGTGATATGCTTGTCTATGGTACATGTGAAGCCATTGATGGAGAAAAAGACCCGCAGTGCTTAATGATAGCTTTTCATATAATAGAGCTTTTGGCACAATTATTCCCTGATCCATCTGGTCCGGTTGCTTCTAATGCTGCTGATCTTTTTGATGTTATGGGTTGCTACTTTCCACTTCATTTTACACATGTAAGATTAATTCCCGTTCTTATATAACTAAGGTCTAAGATTTCCTATGATCTGTTCGATCACCAGAGCTATGTTTAATGTCTCATTTTTTTTGGTTTTCAGGAAAAAGATGAGGAGGCTTGTGTTAAAAGGGATACCCTCTCTAGGGCTCTTATGGTGGGTTCTTAGCCATTATTTATTAGAAATGTTTGCTTTTCTGTTATGTACCCTCTCTAGGTAAGTTAAAAATATTTCTTGTTTGGAATTAAAAATGACCATTGTCTTTGAATAAGATCTCTATTACAGTAGGAGACCTTTAGAAAGTTGAATGTAGTTTCAGCAGCAAGAGTCTTTTTACTCTCATTTGCTTTCTCTCGAAACTTGCGGTCAAGATAAGGCGATTGACTCCTGCTTTTCTCCATAACAAGTTTGTTCAGATTCACTTAATATTTTTTGTCCTTGCTTCTTGAGGGTACACATGGTCTGGTGTATTTCTTTAACTTCTAGATGTTTTCCCTTTGACTGCACAACAGTTTTGGTCAGATGAAAACACAAATTTAGTTGTTTGCTGTTGGGTATAATTTGCATAGAACAAAATGAAACCATGCAATGGAAAGGATGTGATGTCTAGCAGTTTCAAAGCATGGGTGACTACTGGCAAGATTAAAATTGCGGCAAAGTGATTGGAAAATCTGTTTAATCCTAAAGGGCTTAACTAATACTTGTTAAAAAAGTGTTAGTGACGTACTCCATTCTGTTTCGCAGCTGGCTTTTTCCTCAACGCCTCTTTTTGAACCATTTTCCATCCCTTTGCTGCTTGAAAAGCTTTCTTCTTCTCTTGAACTTGCCAAGGTTAGTGTTAATTATTGTTTTTTCCATATTATATTTGTTGATCTAACAAATTTAGTTTGTATATCACTTGTGATGTTGGACAGAGTAACTATTTTTTCCACTAAATCTATGTAGGTTGATTCTTTGAAATATCTCCATGATTGTGCTCTGAAATATGGAGCAAACAGAATGGTGAAGCATTATAAAGGTCTTTGGTCCTCCTTAAAAGAGACAATTTATTCTTCCATTGAGACGCATTTGTCCTTTGCTCCAGAATCCCTTACTGGTCCTGGGGCTCCAGATGAGGGGGTGCAGAAAGAAGCTCTAAATCTTCTTCAAAGTCTTGTTATGCAAGATGCGTCATTTCTAAGTTTTGTTGTTGGTGATATAGACATAGACATAGTTTTTGATACCATCTCTAGCTACTGTCATTTCAAAGAAATGCTCGAAGAGAGCAAACGAAAGGTTCTTGCTATTAGTGAGATCCTCTCTGTATCTGCCAAAGCTTCTGCTTCTTCGTGCAACAAAATCTTTGAAATAGTTTTCTTCCGCATACTTAAGGCTTTAGGGATCCTAGAGAAAAATTCGGAAGGGGATTATATCCCTCAAGAAGATTCAACATTCTCTGGTAGACTTAATCAGGGTGGCCTTTTCCTTTGCATTGGACTTCTTACTGCATCTAAGGATCATACCTTGAGTTCCAAAGAACATTCAATGGTGTCAAGTTGTGGACATGAAATGTGGTGCTCCATGGTTAACAGATCTGCGTTTTCGTTGATCCAAATGTTCAGTTCTGCAGCAGCTAGCTTTGATGAAGACGATGGTGGTGCTGATGCATATCTTGGAGGTGATTGCCTGTGCTTTCTTAATATATTATTTGCTGTCCATGTTCTTACACACCCTATGTTAAGTGTCGATACTAAATTTGTGTTGTACATAGTTAGCTAACTTTTGGATTACCTCATCATTTTCTATTTACTAATATCCCTGATTTTGAATTAATATTTAGTTAAGGGTTTGCTGACTCTGGGTATGCTCCATGGAGGCTCTTCACTTCTATCGAGATCCATATTCGATAAGGTTTTGATCACTTTAACATCAATCATCACTGCGGAGTGTGGTAAAACACTAGCATGGAAGCTGGCACTGAAAGCGCTGGTCTACATCGGCTCATTTATTGATCGATATCATGAGACAGAGAAGACACTGACTTACATGAATATAGTTGTCGACAAATTTGTTATGTTGGCTTGTTCTGATCACGTTGGAATGCCATATTCTCTTATATTGGAAGCAGCTTCAGACATCTGCTTAACTGGGCCTAAACATGTCCACAAAATCATTCAAGGATTTGAAGAAGCTTTGTGTGCCAATTGGTCTGACAGTTGTGTATGTATTGCCACCATTAATCTAGATAGGAAAATATTATTTTGTTTTCACTATCAGGTTTCTATCTTCGGTTTGATGATTAGAGTTCGTCAGAAGTTTCCATTATTGTCTTTCTCCTTTGTTAATAGATCAAGAGTTCTGCAATATCTGATACCATTTGTCTTTTGCTTGACAGGTCAGAGGAAATTCCAGGTCAATTGAAAACTGTGTTCTGCTCTTGGATTGTTTTTCCAATAAATTACTTCCCCGGTATAGAAACATTTATTAACTCTTCACTTTCTTTCTGGTATACTAGACTAGCCTTTCTAGCATGCACGTTAGGACTAGCAATCCTCTTTAATAGAGTTAAGTATCCAGGACAGTGCCTTCCCAACGAATCTCTACTGTATGCAGTAGAGTATCTATGAATCTCTGCTAAATGTCACTCTTTACTTTCCCAATCCTGTTAATCCACTCATTAACACTTTAGAATACCATTAGACTGTGTCATATCTCTCTGTTGCTGACTTAAATCGGTGCATTCTGTAGATTGAAAACTTAAAATCCGTTCTTTGCCCGTCTATGCTTCACATGCCTTGATTGTTTGAACTGCTTTTCAAGATTATTACGCGATCCACCATTTATCTGCCATAGGGTTGGTTCTTTAATTCCTCTTTCATGTCAAAGATATCTAATTCTTTTGGCTGGACATGTTTTTTAGATTAAACGGTGTGGTTGAGATAGATGATCTTGAGGACATCTTACTTCAGTTTGCTGTCAGTATCTGGAATAAAATTGAAACCTGCAGAGTTTTCAGTTGTACACATGGTAAGGTAAGTGTCTCAGATCACCTTTCTTCTCATGAAAGTAGAAGTTAAAAACATAAGTTGTTGAGTTTATGTTCCAAACTTCTCTGTTATGACAGGAGCTTATTGATCCAACTATGATGGCAATGAGGCAGGTTGTTGCAATTTCTTCAGTGGAAACCCAGAACACAATAATCCAAAAGGCATATAGTGTGGTCTTATCAAGCACACTTCCATTGATGGAATCTATTCCATCAAAACCGGTTGCACTAGAGGCTCTAAAACATTTTGATTTGTCCATCAGGGATGAGTTGATTCTATCACTTTTTGCGTCAACAATTATAGCTGCATCTCCTACAACAGATATTCCTAATGTGAAATCAGTTGTACATCTGTTTTTGGTTACCCTTCTTAGGGGCCATCTTCCTGCTGCTCAAGCGTTGGGTTCTATTGTTAACAAATTGGGTTCAGGTTCCCGTGGGACAAAAATCTCAAGTACTAGTTCCTTGGAAGAAGCATACAAAATAATATTCCACACAACTTTTGAGGTGGGAAAAAGTCTTTATTCTGATGGATCTGGTGAAAGTAGTTCTGGAAGCGAGATAAACTTGACTAAGTTTTGTTTTGGTGACTATGATGGAATGAACTTGCAAAATCATGCTATCACGGGACTAGCATGGATTGGAAAAGGGTTACTCATGCGGGGTGATGAAAGAGCTTGTGACATAGCTCTGGTACTTCTGGATTGCTTAAAAACCACTGACAGTTCGGGGCAGGTTCTGCAGTCGTCTAGTATGAGATGTGCAGCAGATGCATTCCGTATTCTTATGTGTGATTCTGACATCTGCCTTAGTAGAAAGTTTCATGCTGTCATACGGCCACTTTATAAGCAGTGGTTTTTCTCTAAGACATTTCCCATCTTGGAGTCCTCTATTGTGAAGCCCGATACTCCACTCTCAAGGTTCGCATTTTGTTTGCTATGTTTTTTGTCACTTCTTTATTTGGTTTATGGTCTCGAATTACTTCGGTTTGAATGGAGCATATGCAAGCTTCTCGTCTTGTTTTTGTTCTGAGCATGCAGGGAATTCTTATGATTGATTATATTATATTGCATTTATAATATAACTCCTTTTATGCTAGTCTTTCAGCATTCTCTTTCCTTTCATCCCTCTTTGTCATTTTCCAATCCGTAGTGTGGCTACCATACATACAAGTATTGTCTGTCTCCAGTTGGAGAACAATGATATGTGTCTTCTTGGGATTGCTGGTTTAATCTGACAGTAGGTCACTCCCACACAAAGCAGTTATATTCTAAGATGTTGGTCCAAGTTTTAAGCGCCCTTCCTAGATAGCATAGAGCAGTTAGAGATTCATGTGACAACCTATTTCCCAATTTCCAATTGACTAGCTTTTGTCATGGTTTCAGAATCATGCTGTATTTGGCTTTCACACACGTTGTTTCTAATGTTCCAACAGTGGTCATCTTGGACAATGCCAAAAAGGTGAGCTTTGATATAGATTTTGGAATCCTCCTTGCAGATACTTTTGCTTACCAAACGACTTGTTTGCAGCTGTATCCATTGACACTGGAAGGTCTGTCTATCTTAATCCATGATCCTCTTGGAAAAGATGCTGTTTACAGTCTTCTGCTGGTTTTATCTGGACTGCTCACTGACAAAAAAGGTAAGCTGATGCTTCTTCCATTGTATATAATGTCCTCTTTTTCGTAAATAAATGTGCTTCAGCTCTCAAGAAATTGACAATTTAACCAACAACTTATAAGATCTTCATTGATTTGCATCAGTTAATAATGAACCTACAAGCTGGTAAGTTGGTATCATGGACATACAATCTATGGTTATATACTCGTTTGATGATTTATAAGATATACAGTTGATATGGATCTATATGATAATTCTCACACTAGTAGCTACATAGGGAACAAGAGAAAAAAACTAGGTTGCGGAGATGTTTTGTGAAGGGCCGACCTGGCTCAGCGGTAAAACCATTTACCGTGGGGTCTGAGGTCGCGGGTTCGAATCCACCTCTCTACATTAAAATGTAGGGGTAAGGTGGCTTAGTATATTCCACTAGATGGGGATACGAACTGGGTTGGTCCTTTAGGAGATGTTTTGTGAACTAGCGGTTCCATCTCTTGAATTGATTTTGGGTACCATGACGGAAATATAAAACAAAACCTGGTAGAACATAGCTTGCTATCGACTGCTTCTGCCTAGACAGCCCTTTTAACATCCATTTGTAGTGTGAAATTGGGTTTATTCCTCTGCTTGCAGGACAGGAATCTTCCATAGATAATGCGCATATAATCGTTAACTGCCTTGTCAAGCTAACATCGTATCCACATGCAATGGTAATTCCTCGACGACATTATTTTGCATGTCAGGCCCCTAACGAGTGTTGTTACTTTCATCGAGCTCTTGGAACATATGTGGAACAAGTCATGTTGGTGAAGATTGGCATCATGGTTCTTATATATATTTCTTCCGCTTTCATGGTTAACGGTAAGTGGTGTTTTGAACACGTGCAGCTTGTCAGGGAAACAGCGATTCAGTGCCTTGTTGCCATGATAGACTTGCCTCACAGGAGGGTTTATCCCTTTAGAATACAGGTTAGCTAAAAAACTCCAGAGCTTATCACTCTTCAGTTATATACCTCCCCCTGATTCTCACAACTTACTATCGCACCAAAAGGTATTACAAGCGATAGCAAAGGCGCTTGACGATCCGAAGAGGAGAGTCCGTGAAGAAGCTGTCAGATGCCGACAGGCTTGGTAAGCAGCAGCTGTTAGATGGCATTCTCGAAATGCTGTCATTGTAACTTTTGCCATGTTTTGTTGATGTTAAGTTAACAAAAATAATAATAATCAAACAGGGAGTCGATTGCATCGAGGAGTACGAGGCTGTGAAGAGGTTCCTGGAACAAGTGGCAACCATCCAATATCCATGCAATTCACCTCAGATTCTGTCCTCCCTCTGGGTTTCGAGAGAGAGCTCCTCGAAACCTTCTTAAAAGGTTTGTATTTTGGCGTTTAAATCCTGTTTGTGGGTTCGTCTGTGTGGGAGTTTATAGTCGTTTAGGCATTTCAAGGTGGATTTTGCTTGTGAATAAAATATTAGAGAATTTTAATCAAAATTAAAGGGAATCGTAACGTATGTCATGTTCAGAATTTTTGAATTGTTTTGAGTTAACGAGAAAAACATGTCGATATAAATTTATTTTAATAAAAAATGCTAGAAAGTGGATAAAAAAAGTTCTGTATGATTCAAAATTTATAAATGATATATTTTTTGTAGAATAGAATTTTTTAAAACCAAATCGAACCGAAATCTGATTTTTTTTAACAAAAATCGAAAGTGAACCGTATCAAATTCAAAATTGAACCAAATAGTATATATTGTTAATTAGGAGATTCGCATATTAAATATTGAATTTTAACCAAATTTCCAAATTAAATACTCAACTATCTCACTTCCAAATTAAATATTCAACTATATTTAAACAGATGAATAAAAACTAAAATTTTCAAATTTTAACATATATCTAAGGGATAATCCAAAAAAAAAACTCTGTATTTTTTTTTCTCAATTTAAATTCTATACTTTTTTTATCCAAAAAAATCCTATACTTTTCAAAATTATACACATTCATATACACATATTAATTATTATAAGCACAAAATTAATTACACATTTATTTTCCATAAAATTAATTACACATTTATTTTATATATTTATATGTATATATATGTTTTATATATATGTGTGATATATGTATTTTTTCCTAAAAATCATTATATATATATATAATAAACTATTTATTATTTGTATATTGTTTTATATGAGTTCAATTGTCCATAAAAACATGTTCTTGGAAAGTATAGGGTTTTTTGGATAAAAAAATTTATAGAGTTTAAATTGCGATGAAAAAAAAATACAGGATTTTTTTGGGAATATCCCTTAGATATATGTTAAAATTTAAAAAGTTTAGTTTTTATTTGTTAGTTTAAATATAGTTGAGTATTTAATTTGGAAGTGAGATAGTTGAGTATTTAATTTGGGAATTTGGTTAAAGTTCAATATTTAATATATGAATCTCCCTTGTTAATTTGGTACAAATTTTAGAATACCGAATAAACTGTTTTCAAAGTGAACCGTTAAAATTCCGAAACACTTAGACAAAAGCAAAAGAAGTAGGTTTTTTACTTATTCTCTTTTTGAACCGTTAAAATTCCGAATCGAATTCTGAAACACCGAATAAACACCTCTCGATTTGATCTTGGCTTCTTACTTATTCTCAGGTATTGCAAAAGTTTTTTTCTAGAGGTGTTACATCTACTTATCTCTTTCCATGTTTAGTTGGTTTTAAAAAAATAGGAGTGGATATTTTTATTTGTATATATAAAATCGAATGGAATAAAATATTATCAAATAATATTTAAATCGAATTCACAACCTTATGTGTTATATATCATGTCAAATGTGAAGAAATGAATGGATCAATAAGAACCAAATTTTGGATAAACCAACTGCATATATATTGTAAATTAATAGGTTAATTGAGTTAATTGGGTTTAATAGATTTACCAACCAATATAATTTTCAATTTGGTTGGGATTAACCCATTTGATTTAGGGTTAACCCATTTTGACATGTCAGCTTTGTCTATAAAATGGACAAAGTTTTAGATTAATTTTTTTTAATAATCTTTCCAAGTGCTTACTCTACGATCTGTGCTCTTTCTGGTAAGTTTGCTGATGTAATCTTTTGAGTGAACCTTGGTGCTCTTGCTTGTGTGTTTGGGATGAAGGTCATTTTTGTAATTTTCCATGGTGTTTTCTAAATGTTTTTTAGCCACACATTAGACATACATGATAGTCGGTTTATGACTGACCAAAGTTCACCATGTCCGTTTACGATCTCATCCGGAAAAAGGCACGTGTCGAGCTACCAGTGGAGTAGATTTGATTGCTCAGTCCACGTCAGCATCATCTTGCGAGCCCGACCACGCCAAGAAACAGCTTAAGCCCTGTCTTCACACTACACAATTGTTGCTGCCTTTTTTCTTCTTCGGTCTTGTAAGAGTTTGATGATACGGAGAGGGCATTTCTCGGAGTGGTTGGTGTAGAAGGAAAAAGCCATGGAAGCTCTGAAGACAGCAAGCTTTAGCCCTATATCAGTTCTGTCGGAGAAAAGATCAGAACCCAGAAGGCTTGCATGGCTCCCAAGCCTCTCCTCACCAAAGTCTCCGAGACCCATCTCACAAGAAAGCTTCTTGAGGAGCTTTAATGGCGGTTTGGCTCTTCTCACTTCCGCTTTAAGCAGTGCAGCTACTCCTGCAGCTAAAGCTCTCACGTACGAGGAAGCCCTCCAACAATCTGTCACCTCTTCTTCTTCATCGCCCTTTGAATCAGACGGCCTGGTCGACGGAATCGTCGGATTCGTAACGGAAAACCCTTTGGTTATAGCCGGCGGGGTTGCTGTTTTGGCTGTTCCATGGGTTCTGTTTCAGGTTCTGAGCAAGAAGCCGAAATCTTGGGGAGTAGAATCTGCTAAGAGTGCATATACCAAATTGGGTACAGACGAAAATGCTCAGTTGGTGGACATAAGATCTCCTGGAGAAGCTAGACAAGTGGGTACTCCTGACATTAAGGGTTTAGGCAAAAGACCGGTCACTGTTGTTTATAAAGGAGAAGACAAAACTGGTTTTCTGAAGAAGCTTTCCTTGAAGTTTAAGGAACCGGGGAACACCACATTGTTCATTCTTGACAAGTAAGGCTTTTTTTTGGGGGAATTGCTTTGCTTAATGAATTTTGTGTCTGATTTTTGCAAATTCGGGCTTTATAACGATTCTTCGGTAGAATCTTTCAAGTGGGTTACATGTTTTATGAATATCCATGGATCCTTTGCTTGTAGATCTCACTGCATATCATATGTTTCTGAATACTCGTTCCTTTGTTATTCATGCAATCCACATGTCTTTTGCTGCATCAATGGCGTCTTTTGAGTGGGTTAGCAGAATGGTCTTCAATATTGGTACCTTCATAGGTTAAAAGCTGTATGATGTTGTGATGAAAGCCCAGGTTGGATGGAAATTCCGAACTCGTAGCGGAATTGGTGGCTCTCAATGGATTCAAAGCTGCTTATGCCATAAAAGATGGAGCCGAGGGACCTCGAGGCTGGTTGGTATGTATGTGTTCACAGTACATCTGAGGAATTCTATCCAGCAGTTGTGTAATTTCTAAGAAGCCTGAGGATGAAAATTTCGATTTTCGGTCTTTTGCAGAACAGTGGTCTCCCTTGGGTAGAGCCGAAGAAGACTCTTAGCCTTGATCTGAGTAATCTGACTGATGGTATCGCCGGTGTTTTTGGCGTAAGTGTCCTCGTGTGTGAATTTAAGCTAAAAAAGCTCGATACTTTCGCTTCATAGCTTCCACGTTAACGTGCAGGAGAATGGCGGTTTATCTGTGGCTGTTGGGGTAGCTGCCGCTGCTGGATTGGGTGCCTTAGCATTTTCAGAGGTCACTTTCCTCACCTTTCTTGCCGGACTCTTCTTCTTCTTCTTCCTGATTGTTTTTCTTCTCGTTAATGATGAATCTGTATTGTTCTTTCAGGTTGAAACTATACTCCAGCTTCTGGGTTCAGTCGACAGTT